AAACCCTAAACCCTAACCCCCTTCCACCACACAAAAAAAGAAGCCCGGGCGGCGATGTGCTTTGCCCAGTATGGGCGCAGGGCCCGTATAGAAGCTCATGTATGCCCCACCTTTTCCCTTAAGAGGCTCTAACAGCCCCCTAGCTAGGTCAAGGGCCCAAACTACAAAATAGGAGCCCATACTTCCAATCTTGCATAGCATCTACTTGATTAGAGATTGGATTTGTTTGTCCGTTGCTTCTGCAGGGGACCGCCTAGGCAGGAGCTTTTCCAAACAAGTGTGCATAAAACTTAAGCAGAGCCACTGCACTCCTTTAAAGCCCCTACTGGAGGGAGGGCGACTTAGCAAGTACTTCCCTTCTTACTGGGGAGATCAGGTTAAAGGTGCGTTGAATGGGGATATCCCTACTTAATCCTAACCCCCAGGCCCCAAACCCTAATCCTGAACCCCCAACCCTTAATCCTAAATCCTAAACTCTCAGGCTATAGTAAACTTGCAATGGCTTAAGCTCCCAGTTCTCATCTCTCAGATTCGCCTATATATTACGGTTCCAAATGTTCATTTCCCTTGTTCCCTTGGTTGTTAAGCGCCAGAGGCTTCAACAGCGAAAAGACGCACCCAAACCTCAAGTAACTGGAATAAACCTAACCCTGCACCCTAAATTGGCAGGCCATTGAGAACGAGTTGAGCTTGTACTCCATGCGCCTTTTGTCTAAGCACTCCGCGAGTCCTAAAGGTTTTGGGTTTAGAGTCCTAGAGAACTCAGGATTTGAGGTTTGGGGGTTAAGGGTTAAGAGCTCCGCGGCCCTTTAAAAGTTGTATATAGGGGTGTGTATACATATATATATATATGTATTTATTATATACATAGAGGGATTAACGTTGAGGCTTTACGGCCCAGGGTTTGAGGCCAATGGTTTTGAGGTTTAGTGTTCAGGTAAGGGTTTAGGGTGGTCTTCTCTGGCTCCAAAGCCTATCTAGGGTTTAGGTCAGCGGTCCTCAAGCATGTTGATCCTGTTGCGGGTTTGCAGGGATGTGTAGGATCTACATGCGATTCAGGGCTTGCAGCCTCGGGTTTAGGGTTGAGGGTTTAGAGTCACTTCTTTGCTGACATGGCCTAGTAAGGGATGATATGTGGGTTAAAAGGTCAGTCGAAGGTGTGTGGGTGTGGAGGCTTCGTTGAAGATAACGGGGCCTTCCACAGGTTCCTGTAAGAGGGATCCTGGATATTGGCACCTGTGCTGAGTGAATCCCTTCAACACAAGAAGTCCATGTGTCAGTCCATAAGCTAGATGCGGGCAGCAGCTCATATACACCCCACGACTACAATCCTTCTCATGGAAGCCCCCAGAACGCGGGCTCCCCCTTAATTGTTGAGAAATCCGATATGCTACAGAGATCCAAGCACAACCCTTCCAAACCTTCCAGGACTCTAAACACAACAAAGAAAGGCCTTTCAGCCTCCCAGGGCCCTCTCCAAGAGCCTCCCAGGCCAAACCTTGCAGTAAGATACTGCTTCCACTGTTCGGAGCCCCCCAACCAACGAAGGCCTCGTACAACCCTCTCCCAGCGCCTTGAAGCGGTGATCCTCAACCCTAAACCCTTAACCGTAAACCCTAAACCCTAAATCCTAAAGCCTAAAGCCTAAACTAAATCTCAAACCCAAAGCACCGACTACTGGTCACCAAGTCCTCATCCCATCTAAACTACACCCACCACCAGAACCTTGAGCCTTAAACCCTGAACCCTAAATAATGTAGAAGCCTAAGGGTCCAAGGGCCCAAATATTAAGCTTTTGGGGCCCAAATACTATACTTTAAATGGTATTCGGGCCCCAGAGCCTCATTATTTGGGTCCTGGGACCCTTAGGGGAAGCCCTGAATGTAATAGTATCTCCTTGTCATCCTTGTACTGTATAATCATAGCGTAACCTACCTCCAGTCCAGTTTTAGTTACTTAGTCGCCTCCCTAAACCCAAAGCCTTAAACCCTAAGCTTAAGCCCCTAAGCCCTAACCCCTAAACCCTAAACCTGAAACCTTGAACCCTAAACCCTAAACCCCTAGGCTCTAAAACACCTGAGGGGCTGACTTGACGAAGCCATTGCATCTGGTGGACTCCAGGAAGGCTCAGCAAGCAGGCAAGGCATATGTCTTAGGTTTAGGGCCTTAGGGTTTAGGGTATTGGGGTTTAGTGTATAGGGTTTAAGGTTTTGGGTTTAGGATTTAAGCTTTGGGGTTTTAGTTTTTGGTTTTGAGTTTTGGCTTTGGAGTTCTTAGGGCTTTTGCTTTTGAATCTTAGGGCTCCAGGTTTTCCGGGTTTGGATTGCTAAGGTCTTTTGGTTGTGGGTTCAAGTTTAGGGTGTACGAGTAGAGGGCTCAGGGCTGGGTGTACAGGTAGGTTCAGCCCTAACCCTAACCACGAATGGCTCACTCAAACGGCAATGGGGGTTTGCCCGACCTTCATCGCAGTTTTAGTAAGTATTTATGGAGCTAATCCGTGCACAGCTGGGCGGCCCAGCGCTTCGAGTTTGCGGTTTGGGACTGGGGCTTTGGATTCAGTGCTCGGGGTTGAGAATTCCGGCCAGAGTTTCGCAGCGTAAGAAATTAATGGAGTCATAAGGAGGCATCTATGGTGCAGTGGGGTAGTGATCTGAGAGTTAAGGGCGCCAAAGAGTTGAGCAAACTTGGGAACACCCCTTTGTATGCCCCTAAACCCTAAATCCTAAGCCCTAGACCTTGGGCCTGGATTATATAGGGGACTGCTACAGGGGTTATTAAGGGGGATACTAGGAGTTCAGACTATAGCTCATGCGGGTGAGGGTTCAGGGCCAAAAGTTAGTTAGGTCCCGGAAGGTTTCAAGGAGGTCTTCGGCTGCATGAGTTCTCTGAGGTTAGGGAAAGGAAAAAGCCTAGCTACAACCAGGAGAATCCTACAGCTTCACATGAACGGGATTATATGGGGCTAAACACCTTAAGGCGGATTGCATACAGGAGTATTATAGGTGTGATCAAGGGGGAGACTAGGAGTTTAGACTATACCTCATATGAATAGGCTCAGAGATGACTGTAGATTTTAAAATATATTTTCCTACCTAAACCCCAACAGTATGTGAAATAATGGCCTCAAGGGCTATTATTAAGGTTTTAGGGCTATTATTTTACAGACTTTTGAGGTTTAGGTAAGTCTGTTGTGCCTGCAGCTTTGTCGCATCCCTTTGGCTGCAGCTCTGCTTGATAGCTTACCAGGGTCAGTCCGCTTCTCTACAAGCCCGAATTTGGGTGTCATATGATAGCTTCCCAAAATTGAGGGACCCCAATATGGACCCCAATATACTCTTATTACAGGAGCCCCCGAAAGGGTACCCCTAAACCCTAAACCCTAAACCCTAAACCCTAGGACCGCTAATTTCGGGAAACCCTTATTTCCACACCTAGAACATCTAGGTCCCCATAATAGATCCTGGTAGGGGGTATAGGGTTTTAGGCAATGAAGCAGTTGGAGTACAGCATTAAACCATAGTACATCCTGAGGCTATTCATCCTTCCCTACTTAAGGGGCAGTTGGAGCAGCATTATTTTACATCTCGAGACCATTCCTGCATTCCTGCTTAAGGGGTTTCGTATTTGGCTCTCTGAACTCTGAGTTGCTGTCAGACTACACCGCTTTTGGGAGAAAGGAGTGATCAAGGCAGATATTGGCCATGGCTACGTACTGCCCGCAGCATCCTCACATGACGCCTGAGAGGCGCCAGTACTGGAGCGAAAAGCTGAGTGATCCTGAGGAGTTGGCTCACCACGAGGGTCTGCATTGTGCGGCCGCGGGCTGTGCGCAGTGCGTTCAGGCCTTTCTAGCACAAGGCGGCGACCCCAAGAAGGGGTCTATGCATCACAAGGATTGGAATCTAAAGGCTTGGGCTGAGTATTCCTTCAGTAAAGGTGGCATGAGCCAAGACCAGCTGGAGGAGGTAAAGGCTGTGATTGCTGCTCACCTGCCTACTCCCACAAAGAAAGAGGATGCTTTAGGTCATGTGGTGCAAGGATACTGCTTACAGCATCCTCACATGACGCCGCAGCAACGAGAACGTTGCGAGAATAGATTGAGTGATCCGAACGACCTGCAGCACTATGAAGGACTGCATTGCGCTGCAGCAGGCTGTGCACAGTGTGTTGGGGCTTTTCTGGCGCAGGGCGGCGACCCTCACAAGGGGACACTCAGCCACGAAAAGTGGAATCTGCAAGCATGGGCTCAGTACTCCTTCAGCAAAGGACGAATCAGTGAGCAACAGCTGGACTCTGTAAAGACTGTGATAGCGGCATACGCAGGTGTTCCCACCGTCACTGACCCATGCCAGTCTTCAGCAACACAAGCGCCAAGCTGCTGGGTTGCTGTTAAGTAACTTGAATTAAGTTTCTATATTGGGGAAACCCTATTATTTACTATGTATACCCATTATGGTAACTTAATTTAGGTTCCTTAACAGCTACCCAGGCTGTGTGGTTTCGGAGCTGGACGAGCCTTCACCTACCTTCGCAGACGTGTCGAGACCAACCTATGGCAAAACATCGACCTGGACCTCCCAAACCAGAATCACAGCCAAATACCGGTACCTAAACCCCGAAAGTATGTAAAACAATAGCCCTAAACCCATAATAACAGCCATAAAGGCCATTATTTTACAAGTTTTGGGGGTCCAGGTAGTAGTGGCCCATATATACTCATCACTGGTTTTCGGGTTGTAGGTAAGTATTTGGGAGGTCCAGGTAGAGTTTGCGGTGAAGGGAGCCAAGTCTGGATGTGTTCTTTTGCCTGTCTTCCATCGATGCAATAGAGGTGAGATACCTCAACGCGTGGAACACATTTTGAAGCTTATGGCTTTCTTATTTGTAAAATGTATCTGATAGTCCCTCAACTGGGGAAACTCTTGTAATCCTCACTGGGTTGTTTGCGCACATGACATGAGAGCGCGAGCAACTACAAGATTCCGGAGATGGGTTTTTGAAGGATCTTTCTGTACTAATGACATGATGCTTTTTTGTTACAGGCGCCGCCCCCCTTACTTGCAAACAACATGATGCGCATCATCTTCCCTCACTGCAAACACAGCCACGACACTTTTTCATGATGCAAACCGCTGGAAATTTTATGAGACCTGATAATGCATGATCGCAAAGCACATGGCAATTGCTGAAAGATGATCAAAAATGATGAAATATGATGAAACATCATGGAGAGTCATGCCATGATGTAAAACTATGAACTATGGCGAGCATGGCTGGCCATAAGAAAGCCGGATCCCCCGAGGATCCTGGGAGAAATTACCTGTAAAATAGTAGACGTCAAGCCACCAAAAAAAGTTGGATAGTTTGCAAGAAACACTGCATACAGTAGAAGACCCCAAAACTGCCAAATCCCACCATGAAACACCCATCCCCCAAATACCACGAAGCCCCACTGAAGAATTAACCCCCCAAACCCTAAGCATATCTATAATTCCTAGAGCTTCTCCACGGGATCTTTAACCTTAAAGCGCAGACCCTAAACGCTAAGCACTAAGCCCTAATCCAAATTTCCTTCAAAAGCCCAGGTTGCTGGATATGGCGCGCCGGGATATTGCTCGCAGCATCCACACATGACTCCTGAGCAACGCGTGCGCATTGCAGGCCGATGCCACACGAAGAAGGACCCTTGAGAGTTTGGAGCTTTGGAACTACTACTGTAGGTTGTTGTTGCAAAGCATGTGGCATTCTTCTCTGCACACACTCAAAATGGAGTAACTCTGGCAGCATGAGGTGTATCTCAAGACTGCAGTTCGTGGTTTTGAAAAGCTTTCAGGCGGTATGGGCTAGTGTTTTGTGCCTGAGATGTAGGCTTCGGGGTTTGAGGTGTCCATCCCACCACCGTGCAAGTTTCAATCAAGACTACGGTGTAGGGTTTAGGGGCTTAGGGTTTAAGACTGGGGAAGTGCCGCAGTAGGTGCAACGAGTTCTGAATATGTGGCTGGGGACCCAATTTCCCTACCTGTTGGATGACCATTTGACTTAGTAAGTCGACCTATGATCCGTAAAACCCCTATGATAAGCCCTATAACTTCAGTTACTAAGTAGACGTATTAAGTCAAGAGTCCAAGTATAGGCTTGGAACCCAGAACTGTTGACCCTGAGCCGTCCGAAAAGCGCGAGCCCTCCTGGTAGTGATACCCCCCTCCCACCCCTAATGACCAGATCGTATCAATAATCGGGGACTATTAGTTTGTTCGGGGGTTGGGAGGTTACATGATTAGGGGAGGTCCTCGACCCTGAATTCTTGGGAAAGCGAAGGACTTCCAGCATTACGCCGGCCTACATTCTGCTCTTGCAGGCTGTGCGCAGTGCATTGAGACCTTCTTGGCAGAGGGTGGAAATCCGCACAAGGGAACGGTTCGCCACAGGACGGGCGTTTTGCAGTTGGGCGCAAGGTTAAAGTTTAGGGCTTGGGTCTCGGGTTTATCTATCTAGGGCTTGGGATTTAGGGATGGTGTAGGGTTTATGATTAGACGGTGAAGGAGCGAGGGCTTTGGAGCCTTACGCCTTGGAAAAAAAGGACCTGGGAAAGCAATGTGGACGCCCAAACCCTTGGAAGACCGAAGGGCATCCAATTTCACTATGGGTAGAAAAATATATTCGAAACGAAACGGGCGGGGTACCATGGCTTCTGTATGCTACTGTAAAGAATACACGAGCAGCAGGTACACAAGAACAACACACACACACACACCACGTTCTCGCGAAAAGATTTCGTTCTTACATTTGCAGCGTGGATTATTACTAGAGGGGGGAGGGGGGCCTAAACCCGAAACTTTTCATCGCAGAACTGTTTCAATGTCCTATCCATTCCCCTAGATGGCTCATTATCATAGAAGGGGGTCACGTAGCATGTCCTCATTTGCCACTAACCAGCAGCAACAGGAAGTGGAACATTCTTTCTTGCGCAGAGTACTCCTGCAGCAAGGGTGACCGGGTCCTTGTTGAAAATACAAGTTTTTTTTTGTTCGTACCCTAAACCCTTAAACCTCAACCGTTCAGGGTTTGACTAGGGTTTACGGATAAGGTAAGGAAATTGACTTATGATTTTTACCAACATCACAATGTGGAACCAGGTGAGATCAGCCAAGTGCAGTGGGAGGCTATCAAAAGCTTGGTCGCTGTGTACGCGGGCCTGGCTTCTCCCGCGGATGCGTGCATGCGCGACAGGTCGGGGGTGCCTCTTCGGGTTAGGCCCTAAACCCTAGGCACTAAACGGCGTAGGCCAGCTTTGTGCCATCCTTTGTGTATGTATATATATATATATGTATATTTAGATATATGACATGCTAAAAGGCATTCATGGCAGCTGATAATAACATACGTATAATGTAATACAGTATTTGTGGTGTGATACGGTATCCCTATATCATGCTCAAAGGCGACTCGCGCCAGCATTTCGACGAAGACCTAAACGGAACTAAGCCCCAAACCCTAAATCCTAATTCCTGCCTCCCGATTCATCCTAAAACTTACTACTAGGGTCCCTAACTCTCAACCCTAAACCCTAAAGCCTTCGTCTTAAACCCTAAGTCCGAATCCATATAGTCCCCCTTAAGTATCTTAGAATGTGGAGTATATGGGGATCATATTTTAATGTACCCTAAACCCTAAACCCTAAACCCTATTCTATCTACTTTAGGGGGACTATAAGCCCTACCCTGAGGTCCCGGAGCCCCAGACGGTCTCACTGCAAAGCCTTGAAGGAGCAGCCAGAAGCTCCCAGCTGGCTTTGACCTTAGGGTTTATAGGGTTTAGGGTTTAGGGTTTAGAGGTTAGGGTTTAGAGTTTAGAGTTTAGGGTTTAGGGTTTAGGGTTTAGAGTTTAGGGTTTAGGGTTTAGGGTTTAGGGTGTACCGGGTCTACTTAGTCTACTTGGAGGATCTCTTGACTTACTAAGTCTGCTTAGTATCTGGCGTATACGGTTTTTAGTAGGGGTAATAAGGCATGGTAGGTAGACCTACTAAGTCAAAGGATCATGCAAGTAGGGCTTGGGGATTGGGATTTAGGGTTTGGGAGTTACATTCAGGCGCTGGGAGTTAGGGGCTTTGGCTAGGGCTTAGGGGTTGGGATGCGCGGCCTTAGGATTTAGGATGTGGGCATTACGGTCCAGATGAAGGAGTTATAAGGACTGTAAGGATCATGTCAGGGAGCATTTATGAGGCTATTATATGGATTAACTGAATCATTTGTGGGTATACCTTGGAGCTTTAGATGTATGGGGTGTGCGGTTTAAGCTCTATGTTACCCCTTTTAACAAAAGTATCTGTAGTGTTGCATTGGGTGGACGTCGAACCTTAGACGCCCTCAAGCGCAAGGGAAGCCGAATCAAGGAGTGCATGGTCGCTTGGAAAAAGAGATCTTGAGACATGCAGCTATAAGCAGAGTTTAGGGTTTTTAGACTTTAGGAGTTCAGGGTTTATGGTTGGAGGTTTGTGGCCAATCAGCCGTAGGGTTTTAGGTACCCCTCCACAAAAGTGGTCTCTACAGCCAACCTACCTGCAACCCTACACCCTAAACCCTAAAATAGACGCTAAGCCCTAAACCCCATATAGCCCCATTGTAGTAGCTTCCATGTTCTTTTCCATTATTCCTATATTACCTATATTATCCCTGTATGACCCTATATTGCCGTCATATGTCCAGACTGCGGCAGTACCCTCATTGCGCGTTTAGGTTAGGTACTGCCCCCACTCTGCAACAGTTGGATAATACAATATATATATATATATATGATTATATATATATACATTTATACATATATAGTTATACATATACTCCTCGACATGACTCCTAATCTACACCGTTACAAAGTGGGGGCAGTACCCAAGGTTAAGGGTTGAAGAAGTTTAGGGTTTTTTGTCCTGGGCTTCTAATGGAGAGTTCGGTGGGGGGCTTCTCAAAAGTAAAACTAATCCCTAGGGAAAATTGTTATGGAGACGCCAAACCCTTAAAATCCCTCAGCGACCACCACCTTCTTTGAGAAAAAACGCATTCCGCGTGATGATTTAGGGGGTTGCCATGTACGAAGCACTTCATGCTTAGTCGCTAAGGGATGGGGGCTTACTATAGGTCAGGTACTGCCACCACTCTGTAACAGTTGCCTATAGACAGCTCGGGACTAAACTAGGGTCCCAATTTTACGGTTTGGGGTCACTAAAACACTTTTACTGTCACCCTAAGCCATGAACCCAACAAACCCTAAACCCTAAACCAGAGTTTTTCGGAACTGTAGGGCATTCATCAAGATGCTTCCGCAAGTTACTTCGGAATGGAGTTTCCTGGATGGGCTCTTGAACTAGCAGTAGAAATTATTGTAGTAATAACGGCAGTAGTACTTGTAACAACAGGAATAGTATTAATGGTATTACCAATAGTGGAAATACAAGTAATACAGATACTAGCAAGACATTTAATAATAGTCGTATGAATAATAGTAATAACCAGACCTTTTTTGGAAACAAAACAGTGCTTGGGACCTGTGCCTCTTGGAGTGACTGCAGTGGATTTCTCAGCCAGGATTCAGAGTTGGAGGTTTAAAACTTGGTGGTGTTTAAGCATGTATAGTTTGAGGGGCTAAGGGTTTAAGGGCTTGGAGTTGAAGGATTTAGGATTTGCGATTTCCAAATACTTACTCGCAGTAGTGTGTTCCTGGCCCAGCACAAATTCTCAGGGAAGGTTCAACTAAAGACTGTGCATTGACATCGATCTGACACCTTTGTGCAACGTGTAGAGAACCCAAGGTCCTTCTTGTTGGGCACCGCATGTCATATTATTTATATTTGTTTAGTAGACCCCTCACCCTGTCCTAGTGGTACAATAGGGATATAAGAGGACCCCATTCAGGAATCAAGCGCAAAGGGGGCGACATGAGACTTTGTTACAACAAGTGCCGTCTTATGCATACCGAAACACTCCTTCATCCTCCGTATCATTCCCAGACTCTGGACCCTTAACCCTAAAGGGTAAAGGGTTTCAGGTAAACCTTAAACCCTAAATGCCAATCTAACCCTTAAGCCCGTAACCTACAATAGATTTCGGGAACTAAGTTCCAAACTCAAGCTATAAGCCCTGAACCTACAATAGCCTACTGACTCCCTAGCGCAGACTGCGCCGATTTTGAGAAACGCCGTCCATCTCCCAGAAAACGCAGCCTACCAGTGGTTAGCAGTTAGCATGGAATAAGGGAAGATGATCCTTTTTGAATCCTTTTCACTTTGTTCCCTGATTCCCTATCCTATACCCTAAACCGTATAAACCCTAAACTCTAGACCCTAAACCCCCATCCCTAACATAACAGATTCCCTTATTACTTACTAAACCCTAAACCCTAATACTTCCCTACTGAACTCCAGAAGAGGACCCACATATAACAGATTCCCTTATTCCCTACTACACCGTAAATCCTAATATTTTCCTACTAAACTCCAGAAGAGGACCCACATATAACAGATTCCCTTATTCCCTACTACGCCCTAAATCCTTATATTTCCCTAAACCCCTAAACCCTAAATCCTACCCCAACCCTAAACCCTAGACCCTAAATCCTAAACCCTAAATCCTAATATTTCCCTACTACGCCCCAGAAGAGACAGGCGAGGGAGAAAGTGTGCAGGGCTGCCCCTGGAGGGAGGCGACGGCTCCGGGTTTGGGGTTTAGGGTTTAGGGGTTAGGGTTTAGGGTTTAGGGTTTTGGGCTCAGGGCATATGGGGCTATAGGGCTTGCTCAGTAAACGGATGCTATATAGGGACTATTGGACTATTATAGGGTTTAGGATTTTGGTTCTCAACTCCTTAAAGGGGGCTCTTAGGGGTATTTTAGGGGTTATTAAGCGGGATGCTAGCAGTTGAAGTTTGATAAGGCCATGGAATGCCTAACTTTCCTAAGCTCCCACAAGACGATCCTAGAGGTTTCCGGGACGATGGTATACGATTTTGGGACGATGGTATATGATTTCGAGGAAATGGTTAGGTTTTGAGCGAGGCAAGGTTTAGAGGAATTGGGGTCATGGCTGAGGCAAGGTTTAGAAGATTTGGGGTCACGGCTTGACGCTTCTAGCCTTATCTGAGACAACGGTTAGAAGATTTCGGGTCACGGCTTGATGCAGCGGGCTTGATGTTGGGGCCACGGCTTCACCAATCGGGTTTAATTTGGGGCCACGGCTTGACGAATCAGGCCTTCACGTGGCGCCATAGCGCGACCAATCAAAGGCTTTCCCTGAGCACACGGTGTGACCAATCAAGCGCTTCCCTGAGCACATTTAGGGTCAGATGGTCAGAATCTGATGGGCAATATACGGAGTCGCAGTCTTAGTATAGTGCTTCATCAGTTCAGCTCGAGAATGCGGCGAACAATTCTCGTTGTATTCGGGTAATCATATGACATATGCCCCTTGCTTCAAGAGACTCCTCGAGACTCTTCGAAACTTTTCGAGACTTCTTGAAACTCGCCTCCAAGACTCCTGGAAACTTCTCGAAACTCCTCGAAACTCCTCCAGATTCCTCGAAACTCCTCGAAAACCCCTCGAGACTTCTCGAAAATCCTCGAAACTCCTCGAAACTCTTCGAAACTCCTCGAAACTCCTCGAGACTCCTCGAAACTCCTCAAAACCTTTTCAAAACTCTTCGAAAACCCCTCGACACTTCTCGAAACTCCTCGAAACTCCTCGAAACTCTTCGAAACTCCTCGAAACTCCTCGAGACTCCTCGAAACTCCTAGAAACTCTTCGAAAACCCCTCGACTTCT